AGAAGTACTTGTGCTAGTCAAATTAAAGGAAGAGAGGGTCAGGCGAATAAGAAACCATATACACACACACACACTTAATTATGCAGCTAATATAGAGTTATCCAAAAACCAAAAAAAAAAAAGGAAGTTGAGTAAAAAGAAAAGGATATATTGTCCGCATCGTCACTTAAAGACACAAAAAATAGATGATGCTTGACATCCAAAAAGGCATAAATAGATTCAGATTGATGTGCATTTTCACTAGAATTTATACATTTCAATGTTTTAAGCAGAACACAACTTAGGAAGGGGTTGAAGGAGAAAAAGTATTAGAGAAGCGCAGAGATTTTTATCCTTCAATCCCTAGCCCGGTGACTTACTGAATTAATGTACGGAAATTCCACTTTAACGTCAGCACTTTCACAAAATAAAAGGAATAAATATTACTAACAATATGTGCACACTATTAAAGATTACATAAGCAAGTAAAATCATGAAAATTAAACACACCATTTGATAAACATAAACAGTAAACAGTGAAGTTGTGTAAGTAAGCAACCCAAAGCAAGCAAAAACAAAAAACTGAACATAGTAGATTTTATTAATAATAATACAGTATATTATTACTATGGATATGATTACGATTATGGCTAATTTATTGATTGAGTTTAATTTATTGATTAGTATTTATTGTATTCCCTAAACTAAAACTTAATGTACTTTTACCATAAACAAATACCAAGTAAATGTTACACCTACAAAAAGCAAGGCTGCAGGCCGCAAGGAAACCCCAAGAAATAAAGTGTTTTAAACCAAAACAAAGACTTCGATCCGATGGCCCGGATGTGCCCTTCGTCCTTCTGCCACATTAGAAAATTAGAAAATAACATTTCGATTGGCAGCCCCGAAAGAAGGCCATGAATTGCGCATTAGTGTGTGAGAGCGGGTGTGTCCGGGTGTGCCTGGTGTGTGTGTGTGTGCTGCAAAACCACAAACTACTGTGATGAAATTTCAATTATCGTCACTCAGCTGTGCGCACCGTCTGTGTGGGTGAGTATCTGTGTGCGTGGCGGGGGAGGTGAGTACGAGTATCTGTGGTTGTGTGCATGTATGGCACACCTGCTGCTGTCGCATTGCAAGCGACCAAGTAAAAGCTCGTTAAGGGAGCATCCCAGCCCAGCCCCCTAACCCTCTTTACCCCCCAAGGACGATGCCGCCCACAACATTTGTTGCACACGCACACAGGCACACATGGCTTGCGGCTACACCACACGCACACGTACACAGGACGCCAGCAGACGGCAGCAGCTTGCCTTTACTTCTGCCTTTGTCTAGATGCTCTGCGCTTTTTTGCAACCCTTCGGCCACTTTCCAACAACAACAGCAACGAGAACGACAACAATGACGATGATGATGGTGGCATTTGCTACCTGAGTGATTTCCCAAAGCACAACTCCAGCTACGACCCAACTTCCGCTTTGTTCGGAGAGAGATGCCTGCACATCCAAATGGCTGCACGTCCAGCGTCCAGCTTGCATGTGCTGGCTGTCCCTGCTTCTCGGGGTGTCTTTTGGCCATTCCCTGGATCTAACCCTGTCTACCATCCTCTCGATTACCCCTTTGTATACCGTTAGCTTCTATTTAACATGCAGTTATCGTTTGTTATCGCCAGCAGCCACAAACCAAACTGGCACAGAGATAGAGAGAGAGCGAGCGCAGGTTGTCAACAAGGGGAATCACAATGCATAAAGGATGGGACCCCAGGCGAAGCTTAGATGCTCTTTAAATTTCTTAAGCTATTTAGTAAGGTTTAGTAAGAAATTTAAATACTTTAGGAAATATGGTAAGGAAATAAAAACAATTAAGGTTGTAATGTTTCTCAACCGAAAAGGATTCAAACTGTAGGTTTATTTTATACATGATTATATTTTATTGAAATTAAATAAAAATTTTTGAATGCTTTCTTATTTTTTTTCATCCTATTTTGTACTCCTAACACATGACTAAATTTTACTCTATTAAAATAAAATAATTTATAAATAAAATCCTACTAACAATAATTACCCAGTTCCATCTCTTACATCTCCAAGCCCTTCCCATATATCTGCCAATCAACCAAGTTCATATTCCTCATTCCTAACCCAAAACCCATTCCCATCTTGTATTGTTCTCCAGCCCCTCCAATCCAATCGATGCCAATGCATTAACATTAAAACTTGGGCGCAGAAATTTTAATTAAAATGTGACAGGCAACTAGCGCACAATGGGCCCGCTCGCCGGATATCTTGGCCTGGCCCAGTGCTCCTGTATGTGTCTGGCATAAAAATATTCAGCATAAGTGGCGGCCACCCGGCGCTGGCTCGACATTACAGGGCAGCCAGAGCTGCGGCGCTGGCAGCAATTGTGCCATTTCAATCGACATCTGTTACTGATTTCAAAGAAACTTTTGTTGACAACACAAACAAATGCCAAGTGCAGGCAGCGGCGGGGCAAGGATGCCGTCGCCCGGGGGGTTTAAGGTACAAACCGTTTGACGCTTGCCTGCGCACGACTTGGGGGCCCAACTCCACTCCACCTATCCAGTGGCCACCCGCTTTTGGCCCTGAACCAGACCCAGAGAACTCACGTGTGGCCCAAAGTGCCGCACAGCTGACGTTAACGTTATCAGCAAGCCGCTGTGCCGGTGTGTAGCTCTCTGATTGTGTGTGTGCTTAAATACCCTATTAGTTGGGGTATATTACTTAATAATTAGTGGTATATTTGGGAAATTTAATATTGAGAAAATAGTTTTTAAGGGAGTGATTTCACTTAGATCTAGAAGCTTAAATTTATATGGCATGGCTAAATCGATTCGCCTGCTGTTGCTGATTAAGTTTATAAATATTGAATGGTGTCTTAGATACCTTCTTCTTCCTACAACATATATTTTCGGTTGACACTAAGTCTATATTCTCATCGTTTCCTGGATTGCAATCCCACCATAGCCCTTCAATGTATGCTACATTTTCCATAGCTCCAGGGTATCCCATAGTCGTCCTCACCTCATTAGTATCTGTGTGTGCGTCAGCCAGCTCCTCTGTGTCTGTTTCGCTCTCTGTGTGTGTGTTTTTGTTTTCGCCGGCTACAAACAAAGTTGACTGAGGCTGCCAGCTTGCGTGTCTGCGAGCCTGCATTTGAAGGCTGTGCAGCAAAGGCATCTGACGGCATGAAGGAATAACGGTTGCTCGTGGAAGAGGAAGAGGCGAAATATGGCCTCCGTGTGTGTGTGCGGCTGCGAGTGCTACTCTCTGTGTGTGTGTGTGTTTTCGGCGGCGCCATTGTCGATAATAACGATGGACTGAGCCTCGGGTCGCAGCCGCTTTTGTGCGCGTAACATGTGTCAATTACAGGCACCCACACACACACATACACATACTGGATGGGCCTGGAACAGCCAGAGCAGGAGCAGCCGGCACAACCACACACACACATATGCGCTCACTTAGTTTCCCGCTCTCTCACACCGTCGATAACTCAAAAAGCTGCCAAAAAGTATGCGCACATTTTTTATATGCGCCGCCCGAAAGTATGCACATATTTTTTATATTTGTGCTGCCGGCATTTGACAGCTAAGCGACGCCAGCGTCGCCGCCAGCTGCGCTGCCCTATGTTAATTTATTTTGACACAGCACTTGGCTGGCGGGTGTGACAGGGGGGAGGGGGGAGAGCCACTGAGAGGGGGAGGTAGCAATCGGTTTTGGGGCTCGTTTTTGTTTTTGTTGGCGAATAAAAAATGCTTAATTAAAAAAATTCTTGAATCACTGTAACAGGTGGGAAAGGCCAACTGCTAAGAAGGGTGTTTCGGGCAACTGTCTAACTTTCGTAGTTACGAATTCACATTCACGCTGCTTTCAGTGAATGTTACTCTAATAATGTCCCAAAGAAGATAAATTATAATTTAAAATTTATTATTTTATATACAATAAAATTGCTTGAAACTAACTAAATAAATGTCTGCAAAAAGCGATGTTTCTCCACCTCAAGGGAATATATAAGGTCTTCATAATATGTCGAAAAATCAAGCGATTGACAAAAGACATATATGTATGTATATTCAGATTTGATATTTATTTCCGTAGTGATTTTTAATAAAATATTAGGTAAGTAAAATTTAAACATTTTTATTCAATTTTTGAAAATTATAAAAGGGGTTACATTGTCAAAATGTTTAAAATCTAACTAAAATTAAAAGGTTTTAAGATGTTAAATGCAGTAATCAGATTTATTAATCCATTTAAAACTTACATAGAAAAGCTTTGAAATTAATGTATTTTTGACTTCGTTATGGCTTTTTTAACTTTATCAATTTTGATTCACAACTTAAATCTTAATTAATTAATAATAAGAAAGTATTGAGAAACACAATTTGTTAAAAATTGCAAACATATACTTTTTTCCATATCTAACAGAAAGTTTTTTGTTTTTTACCAGAACTTTTTTTGCGGAGAGGGGTCTACATTAATTTGTTCTCACTTTGTTTCTCTCTTTTAAAGCTTTTTCTCTCGTTTCTCAAGCGTATGATGCTGCGATCGCTATAATTCTCTCATTTTCACTCTCATTCTAATTCAGCTGGCTTTGGGGGCTCAAAAAACAGTGGAGGATTTGAGACTAAATATTAAATTAAAATTAAAATGAATTAAATGTATAATTCCAAATTACCATAGAAATATATGAAATTATTATGAAAGCTATAAGGTAAAGTAATCCAATTTCTAGCAAACTAAATTATATATATTTTCAAATAAATAAAATTTTTAATATTAATCAACAAACAATTTAGCGACTTTATGCAAACTATTATTTATAGACAAAATAACTGCCACATTTCTATATCAAAATATTATTTATTCCACACATTTTATAGCTTTACAATTTCTAACAGATTCGCATAACATTCTCACTTTTGGCGTCCAGAACTCCACAGTGCGGCTGTGGTTATAAAGGCCCCCACTCACTCGCGGCTACAGTTAGTTAAGCGATCTGCCTCCGCGCTTTCAGATCGGTCGAGTGACGCTGTCTATATCTGTGTGCTGTTTATTTGTCCGTGCCAAGAACCGATAGCGATCGTGCGAATCAAAAGTATGTCAACTGGGGGAGCGGAGTGCTGCACTGACCTGACATTGAAAAGTGAATTACAATGATCATGGCGCCAATAAATAGAGTGAGACCGAGAAGCCCGGTGGTGTCTTGGCCATGTAAATCGATGGGCATGCGTAACCAGAGCCAAGAACTGCTTGTGCGGAGAACCGCTTATAGCAACAACTGTGTGCTTAGCATACCCAATAAGTCAAGGTCCCCGAGTCTCCAACATAGACGCCAGAACATAACTCATGTTTCCAGAGACTCGTAGAGATAGCGCCCGTGTCCATGTAGGAATCTCGCCAGTAGCAATGAACTCTGGATCGGCTTCGCACGGCGTCACTTGATAGCTTATTTCTTAACCCTATGTTGGCCGCGATTACACTACATATTATTTACTGTAGTTAAGAGCGATTTATCGACAGTGATGCCAAGTGTTTGTGCACCTGTTTATTGCCTGCCAACTGAATTAATTAGCGATAAGCCGGCATAACAAAGAACTAGGCTTTGCGCTATCAGCTGTTCTGACCGCTCCAGGGCAGGTTCAGCGTCTCGGTGGTGCTGCAGTTTTAATAACCCGATAAGCCTCAATGGGGCTCCACTTAACCCATAGGATAATCTAAATAACCGGACAGATTATTGGCAAGCCGAAAAAGTTTCCATGCTCAATGGGTTGCGTGGTGCCATGAAAAAATCCGATTAAATTATGCCGTAAAATAGAGAGTAATTAGTCATTTTCCCATGTAGGGGGAAATAAAAAATGTTCAAGTACTTGGCCATAAAAGTAATAACCTTTTTTATAATTTACTGTCCAACTTTAGTGTCTGTTAAGTGTGGAAATTCGTTAAAATTTAAACTGTTGTTGTTATTAACTTGCCTAGCTTAGGGGAGAAAGTGTGCTACTCTCTTCAGTTTTGTTCTGTTTAGTTATTTTCAAGAGTTACAGAACAGCAAAATGGGTTAACGTATTTATAAAGTAGTTCTTTATAGCACAGACAATATTTATTGTTCATTATAATTGCAGGTGCAAGTACAGGTTTTCCATATGGAATAATTAATGCATTTATTAATTCATCAATTCTCTAGTTTTGTAGTCATGATTGTTTTTAGTGTGTAACTGGGATTTTCGCACCCAATCCAACTTGATACCTTTAGTATTTGTCACTCCCTCGAAAACCCCTTTGAAATCTCATGTATTGCTCATGGCGGCTGATGATAAGAACTTGCGACCCACAAAACGATAGTAAATCGGTATCAGACAACGTCGTGTCAGGCTTATCGCGGGCAGTCGCTCGCAGTCGGTTGCCCTAGGCGCAAGTGTAGGGTCCCGGTACCCGTTCCTCCCGTACTTGTTAGTCCATAAATTGCCAAATTAGGCCTTGCCGTAGCTGTCACAACACTCGTATCCGTCCGTTTGAGTAACTAATTCGACCATGTTTGCTTTTGCTGTCTATCTCTGCCCTTCGAAGTGAGCGGGAACGAGGAACGCGGCGATCAGGAGGACCCGCAGGAAGAAAAAATGGAGATCCTGCTGGAGCTTGGCTTCAAGCAGAAGCTGGCCACGCGCATGGGCACGCTTCTGGTGGCCATACTGATCTTTGCCAGCTTCTGCTGGGATAATGCACTGGCCAGTCTCACGCTGGGAGCAGCTGTGGCCCTGCTGCTGCGGAATCCCACGTTCGTCTTTGGCCTGGCCATGACCGCATCGAGGGACTTGAAGTGAGTAAATCCATGGTTTATCTTCCGAATATATTACTGACTTGGCTCCCGTTTCCAGGGCCTTAAAGCGCTTTGTAGCCCTCAATATCTATCTGTTGCTCAAAGATCGCAGAGGATTCACAGTGGCTCGCTGTTTTCGGGATCAGGCTCGGTCTCGGCCCAAGAAAGCCTGCTTCGTGATGGAGGATCGTAGCTTGACCTACGCAGAGGCCCTGGAGTTCAGCCAGAAGATTGCTGGTTACTTCAAAGATCGAGGCCTGCAGAAGGGAGATTGTGTGGCTCTGATGATGGAGACCCGCCTGGAGTATCCCTGCATCTGGCTGGGCCTCTCCCAGCTGGGCGTGATCACTGCCCTCATCAACTCCAATCTGCGCGGGGAGTCGCTTTTACACAGCATAAAAGTGGCCGAAGCAAAGGCCCTTATAGTGGGCAGTGAACTGTTGGATGTCCTGAAATTACTTGTGGACAAGGAGGAGCTCCAGGATCTGCCCATCTACCAATACACCGACGAAGAGCTGCGAAACGTTCAGGGACACGAGCTACTGCCAGGGGCTGTGGAACTAAGTGATGCCTTAAAGACCCAGCTGAGATTGGAGCTGCCAGGCAGAAGGTCTCCGGAGGAGGCTCGCTCGAAGCTGCTTTATGTCTACACCTCTGGAACCACGGGCTTGCCCAAGGCTGCTGTAATCACAAACCTGCGTTTCCTGTTCATGTCCGCCGGAAGCTTCTATATGCTGCAGATGACCAGCAACGATGTGGTGTACAATCCCCTGCCCCTGTATCACACCGCTGGCGGAATTGTGGGTGTGGGCAATGCCATCCTTAATGGCTCCACTGTTGTGCTGCGCAAGAAGTTCTCGGCTCGGAATTTCTGGGTGGACTGCAGTCGCTACAACTGCACTGTGGCCCAGTACATCGGAGAGCTCTGTCGCTACCTTCTGGCCACGACCTATACTCCGGAGCAGCAGGACCATAATCTACGCCTTATGTACGGCAACGGGCTGAGACCTCAGATCTGGTCGCAGTTTGTCCGGCGATTCGGAATACCCCACATTGGGGAGATCTACGGAGCCACCGAGGGCAACTCGAACCTCATCAACATCACCAATCGAGTGGGAGCCATTGGCTTTGTCCCTATATACGGGGCCAGGTTGTATCCCGTTCAGGTCCTGCGCTGCGACGAGCAAACTGGCGAGCTGATAAAAGACTCACATGGTAACTGCATCCGGTGTCTGCCTGGGGAGACGGGTCTCCTGGTGGGCAAGGTTGATGCCCGGCGGGCGGTAAGCGCCTTCCACGGCTACGCGGACAAGGGCGCCTCGGAGCAGAAGCTGCTGAGAGATGTATTCGACTCTGGAGATGTTTTCTTCAACTCTGGCGATATGGTGGTGCGTGATATACTCGGTTACTTTTACTTTAAGGACCGCACCGGTGACACTTTCCGCTGGCGAGGCGAGAACGTGGCCACCCTGGAGGTGGAGGCCATCATTACAAATTGCATTGGTCTGGAGGATTGTGTGGTATATGGAGTGCAGGTGAGTTTATTGGAAAAGGGGTATTAGTTTTCCTTGAAGTGTAGTTAAAGCAAATTCCCATGTCCATGCTGAATCACCGCAACAAGTCAGATAAGACGACACCTAAAACATACTCATAAACCTCGATTCTCAATTCTCATTATCGACACCCACACTCCCTGCTCTTATCTTCCCAGATCCCCTATGTGGAGGGCAAGGCCGGAATGGCGGCGATTGTAGACCCCACACGCAAGGTGGACATGGAGTACCTGTCGGTGGTGCTGCGGGGCAGCCTGCCGCCCTACGCCCGACCCCTGTTCATCCGACTGATGGAGGAGATTCCGCGCACGGCCACCTTTAAGCTGAAAAAGCGGGAGCTGGCTGTGGAGGGCTACGATCTGGACAAGCTGACCGATCCCATATACTATCTGAATCGGGATGGCGTCTATCGACCCCTGAGCCAGGAGCAGTACCAGGCCTTGCGTTCAGGAAAGTCGGGTCTCTGAGGAAAATCTTTGTGTGTACTAATAGCTAAATGTTCAATGTTTGTAAGAATGCCCCGATGTACTTGTATTTTTAACGCTTAAAACAACGACTGATACCAAATGGTGATGAAGATGTTTCGCTACTGGAAAGCCGGTCGCGTTTCTTGGCCATAAAATGGCAGCTTAACCGATAATGGGAGCCAATACGTTTTACGGCCAGAAGATGCTGCTACCGCCACAAGATATATCGAAAGTGTTAAATCCCCAAGATTAAGTTCTCGCTCATTGGCAGCTGCTGTAGGTTGCCCGCCGTTGCTGCCTGTGCTGCTTGCTGCCTGCGTTGCTGCCTGCGTTACTGCCTCGCTACTTTTGCAGTTGCTGCTGTTGCAACATTAACGCCATTTCCGCTTGCTAGCGGCAGCTGCGACTCCGTTGCCCGTCGCCTAAGATAAACGATGTGCAAAATCCATACAAAACAACAGCAACAACACTAGCAGGAGCAACAGCAACAAGAGACTGGCAACCGCAAGCAACGCGTGGCTGCAACAACGCAACAGCGCAACATCGTCGACGACGGCGGCCACCAATATCGATGTCGATGGCGAAAAAGTTGTGGCAGGCAATCATAAAAAACGAAGAAATGGCAAACAAAGCTGGGCGCCATTTTGCAGGCATTTGCAGGGTGGCGATTGGTTGTGCTCCTTGGATGCCACAACTTCCTCGATGACCGAAAGTGCTTTCTTTCAGGTAAAGGAAGATGGTTTTTTGTTGTTTCTTATTGCCGTTTTCAGGATCTTAATTGATATTCAAAGGAAACATCTTGTAAATTTATATTTTATCTGTGGATATTCATGTCCAACGGAAACTTATTTCAGAATACAGACTGAATATTCGGCGACTTTATAAAGTAAAACTTAAAGGGAGGTCTAAGTTTTTTAGTTTATTTATAAAATAAATTGATGGCTCAATCGATGCCTCTTCTTTGATTTTAATTTTCTGGATTATTATTTTTAGAAGCCAAGTTTACCTTATGGCCATAAGCGGGTTCATGAAAGAAATAGTTAAATTAAATTCCTAATTTTAAAGTTTAATGTTCCTTTTATAATATTTAAGCTTTCTTCTTTAATTTTCCCATTATGCCATAGTATGCCTCTTCATAAATTCGAATCAAAAATTCCAGCTCCTTTAAGGACATTCCTACATTACAGTTTCCCTTACAAAACACAATTCTCGCAGTGATCCTTTCTGAACGAAATCTACAATGTAAAGGGCGAACCTCGCATGCCGAAAATGCACATAAACTTGCATCTGCAGCAGCTGCAGCTAAACCCCCGCCCTCCAAAATCTACCCCAAAAACTCGTCTCCCCGCCCCCCCTTTGCTTTTCGCGGCGCCATCGTCGATGTCATAAACAAAATGGCAGTTGTGGGTGCAGAGTGCATGAATACGTTCGCATAGCTAATAACAATAAAAGCAACAACAAAAACAGCCATTGCAGCTGACACCAACAGGCAAGTGATGTTGGTGCTGCTGCTCCTGTTCCTGCTGCTGCTGCTGCTGCTGCTGCTGCTGCTCCTGTTCCTGCTGACGTTGTTGTAATTGTAACTTCGCGTGCGCCTCGCCTGCGTAAGTGGGAAAATTAAAAATTTCTCAATAATTTTTCGAAATGTTCGACAAGAGAACGCCGGGGGCGTCGCCATTGTGTTACGCGCTGCCTACACTCCTACTCCTGCTCTTTTTGGGCTCATTTAGAAAGCTTTCCGGTGGACAGACGGACGGACAGGGGGAGGTATGGGCGCTGGGCGTGATGGGTAGCAAAAGGCCGGAGCTCAGCGACGGCGCCACAGCTGCCATTGGAATTCCAAAGCTATTAAAACGCTGCCAGTGGAGCTACGACCAAACGGGCACCAGTGTTCCTGCTGCTCCTGCTGCTGCTGTTGCTGCTGTTGCTGCTTCCGCTGCCATTCCCTTTGTTGCCCATTGCCTGGGATTGCCCTAACCAGAGACGAAGGGTATTGTGAATTGATTGTGGGGCTTAAGATCAGATTTCTCAAGTGATTAAAACGGGTTTCAAGTTAAACAGGAAGTTCATATGGCTAATGGAACAAATGTGTGGCCTACTCTTGGGCCTTGCATTTATTTATTATTTTTGTTAACTAGAGTGAATAACTTCCTGATAATAATCATAATATAATCAGTTTAATATAATAATATAATTGTTTTTTGTTATTACCTGTACAATGTTAACTTACTTTTATTACTTAAACCTATAATAGTTTCTTGCATGAACCATTTATATTTTATATATTTAAGTAAATTAAAAGTCTTGAATATGTGTAGGTTAAATATACCCATACCTCCTAAAATCAATCTATTTATAAATTTAGAAATTTAGGGTATGCAAATATTCGCCATATATCCACATCATTTTTAGCCTGGCTCTGCCACTTGCTCTGGCTGCTGCTGCTGCTGCTCTCGTTGGCTGAATTGGTTTGGATCGCTACGCTTTTGCTTGTATGCATTTGGGCTTAAAGGTTTTGCTTGCTTTTGTTTTTATGTTTCATACTGCCACCGCCAAGTCCTGCCACCTCGCCCCCTTTGGGTCCTTGGCAAGCTTTGTCAGTTCGTGCTAATTACATTGCACCTGTGCATGACGTTTGATGTTGCCCTGTCGAGCTTCGACTGTCGCTAGTGTTTGTTGTTGCTGGTTTTTGGTTGGTATGTGTGTTCTGTGCGCTTAGTTTGTTTGGTTTTGGCCTTTTAGGGCGCTGACTGAGCTGCAGCAGCAGCAGCAGAAGGCAGCAAAAATTAATTAAAAGCCAACGTGCGGCGGCAATGCAATTAAATTCGATTTGGTTGGGCATTCGACGGCCGGAGACTCGGGACTCGAGCTCAGCTGGACGGCTGTTGTTGACATCATTTAATACAACAATACAGGAAAATTATATTTCATACACACACACACACATATGCGCCAGCATCAAAAGTCCACACACAATGCAACAGAGTACACAGGACACAGGACACCGCCCACTGCCTAGCCTTTGTTTTGTTTGTTTTTTGTTTGTTTTTATTGGGAATTTCGCCTCGTTCAGCTGTTGGCTGATCTGCCTATTTGGTTTATATCCCGTCTCACACTCCCACTCTCTCTCTTTCTCTCTTGGCCGCCTTTCCTTGCGGCTGCTTCTGGCAGCCTGCCTCAGTGTGTGTGTGTGTGTGTGTGCCAGTCGTTTGTGCGCTTTCCTCGCTTTTCATCGTTGATTCGTGGCACCTTTTGGATTTGACAGTTTTGTAATTAACTGCAGTCGGCAGCGGCAGAGTGCTGCATACTTTGGGGCGCCTCAATCCTCATTGGCATTTCGTAACGCAATTAGTTGGTACGACTCTTCAAAGTTTTGCGCTATTCATTTCAACTTCCGATTGGGTCTTGGCCTCGAATCAAGTTGATATGCCGTACGTGACAGCTGCAACCAGCCAGTGGACACACGAGCTAAAAAGAGGACGCAGGCATGGACACAGACACGGAAGCGAACGCACACGTGTGTGTGTGGTCTCCTTTTGCCAGGACTCCGGGCTTAGCCATTTCCAGTTTTGCTACCCGCCAGCAGATGTGCGCCGCCAATCCCGCTGTTGGTGCTTTTTTATGGGGCGACCGCCTTTATGCGCCCGCATATTAAACAATTATTGCCAAATGGCAAGCGACAGCTGTGTTGTGTCGCCAATGTCGTTAGTGTGGGCAGCAGCAGCAGCACAGGAGCAACATCGCAGTAGCAGCAACAGCAGCAGCAACATCAGTATACAGCATCCAGCATTCAACATCCTGGCTGGACGTATAGCAGGAGGCCTATTTTTTGTTTAAGCCCAACAGCATACCAAAGCAGGACATGGCCAGTAACGGTTCCTGCACTGGCTTACTGGCTTTTGGTTCGTTCGCCTTTTTTTTCGCGTTTCAGCGTCTGCTGCAATTTATGTGTATAAATGACAAAAGTACCGTTATTTATGGCCAGCAACCGCAACGCAATTTGGCAACACTTGTTGGCCAATTGGCAAAAATGTGAAGGCGGGAGAACTCAGCTGAGCTGAATCGAACGGAACGGAGATGAAGCTGAGTTGGGGTTTCCCCCAGAGGAAATATGCTTGTATATAAATATATATATATTTTTTTGTAGACGAGATAACACATATCTGCATATCTGGGCAATCACACACATTATCTAATATGAGAAAGCGGAAACGGAACAAGGCTTTATTCTGGCTTTGTGATGGAGTCCTTTATACCCTGAAGATCAAAAATAAGCATAGATATAATTTAAGATAAGGAAAAACCAAGCAAAAATTACAAATCTTTAATTAAGCTTATATTTTATGAGCTATTTGAGTTTAAAAGGCTTAAATTCCCCTCTTTAGGTACCTATTCCGAGTTCATATTTCACTTTTTACTCAACTTTTCCCTATTGCTTATTAATAAATGTATAGAATTTAACTGCAGGTAAGCCCAAGAAACCATACTACCCCACACTCCAGGGTATTTATTTAAGAGCAGCACCGCTTGACAACGAACATTTTTGTGCGCTCTGTGCAAAATTTGAATTTTTATTGCTGATCGAAGCCTGCAGCACATTTTGGGCCATAGGCAACATCCCCTGCCTCCGCCAAATTATGCGTATTAAGGTCGTTTTGGGGCGGCTATAGTGGGTGTATGTATCTGTATCCGAGTTGCTTGATAGCTTGTTGCTGACATAAATTTGCTCCTGCTGCTGCTGCTGCTGCTGCTGTTCCTACTGCTGCCTGTCTGTTTGTGTAAATGTGCCAAATGCGCTGGAAGCCTCTGCCAGTTGCTCCAATATTGACTTGACCCTTCTGTTTTGTTGTCGCGCCTTTTATTATGCTAATATTTTTAGGGCATTGCCAAGATTTATTGAAATTGCTGCGGCTGCGGCTCGTCCATAAACGCAGGCCATACATATCCCCGAGATTGTCTCCGGGCATTGGGAAAGGTGCAAGGTCTCCCCGGGAGCAATTTAAGCCATTGAACACATGGCGTATACGCGATTTACGGCAGTAAGAGTTAGAAGTGGGCCTCGGTGGGTTTTCGTGGGGGGGGGCGATAAACAATTAAATTGTCATTTCGTTGGTGCAACGCTTGTTGCTGCTTGTCTCGCCTCGTGTTGCATAATTGGCAACGTTTTTGCAATTAAAACAACTAATTGGCAGCAAAAACTATTGGCCAGCAGCTGTTAGTTGGTAAAGGGATCCATAAAAAGTATGCGAAAAATTAGTTGCATAAATTTCTAGCAAAAGTTTCAACAATGCGGCGGTGGGTAATTGAAGGGAGAGGGTTGGTTTAAATGTAGAAACTATTCTTTTGCTTCAGCAAGGATCGGAAATTGCAAGAATCAACTGTGTATTTATTTTCTATATATTATAAAATTATTTCAACGGCACTTTGGAGTTGCCATCACTTGAAAAGGGGTCTACACGGATTCTGTAAAATATTTCTACAGGTTTCAATAAAATACTATTTTATTTTAATGCACTTAACTTATACCATTTTTTAAGAACAAAATCCTTTTAGCTATATTCTGAATACATCACCAGATAGTACAAAAGACACGGATAGAGATAGAAAAAATAAAGATGGG